GAATTGCAGTCCCCACGTGTCGAGGCGGACACCTGGTGGGAGGTGACTGGATTATGGGAGTGGCTGTTCTCGTGACAGTTCTCACGAGATCCGCTGGCTTAAAAGTGTGACACTTCCCCTTCCCTGGCATGCTCTCGCTCTCCTGCCATATAAGATGTGCCTTGCTTCCCCTTCCCCCATGATTGTAAGTTTCCTGAGGCCTCCCTAGCCATGCAGAACTGTGAGTCAATTAAACCTCTGGTATTGATAAATTGCCCAGTGTGATGGTTAATACTGAGGTCTCCAAGCTCTGCAGCTTTGGGAGTCGGACTGGCTTCCTTGCTCCGCAGCTTGCAGACAACCTACTGTGGGATCTTGTGACTTTCTGAGTTAATATTAATCAATAAACTCCCCTTTACATTTATATCTATCCTATTCGTTCAGTCTCTCTAGAGAACCCTAATACACCCAGTCTCAGGTAGTATCTTTATAGCAGTGTGAGAATGGCCGAAAACAGCCTGCTAAGCCAATTCACCTCAGCGATGGGCCTCGAGAGCATGGCCTCTCCGGTGCCTTGCCATCTCTCTCTAACTGCAGTGAGACCAGGGCAATGATGCCTGGGAGTAGTCAGTGCCTCAGCTGATGGCAGATGGAGAGGCGTGGGAGACGCTTACAGAACTACAGGAATGTGGAGTGACAGCAGCCACCATCCAAGCTGCAGCTCTGGGAAGTGCTGAGAAGGCAGAAGTGTCTGGCGGGAGGTGGCCATGGGCTGAGAGCCGAGGCCGTGTCAGGACGTATGATGCCCTCAGCACTGCTGCTGCCTAGTGAGACCCGAGTGGTGTCCCTTTGCAGGACAGAGACAGACCCAGAGCAAGGAGGTGCCCAGTGAGTGCGGCTCAGAAGGGTCAGGAGGGAAGGATGGGGCTGCTCTGACTCCAACGTCCATATTTTTCCCAGCACACTCTCCTCCTCACACCCCGAATCCCTAAGCAGGGTGTGTTTTGAAAACTGCCTACTATTAACAGTTCATTGTCTCTTTAAATTTAAAAATACAATAAACCTTTAGCATTTAGCCACCTTCGTAGCATCACTTGGCACAGGAGAAGGGGAGATGCGAGAAAGACGAGGACACTGCCCTAACCTCCAGCAGTCACGATTGCACTGGCTGAGAAGGGCCTTTCGTGCTGGGGAGGGAGGGGACGCACTGGCTCTGGGAAGAACACGAGCGGCTGCAAACGCTAACGTCATGATTTAGGGAAAAGGCGTCTGATGAAAATGACTAACATCCACGGTGGATGGGGGAGGGTGTTTGCTTCTTTTTCAATCCTCACTCAATCCTATTTTAATAATAAGAGTGAAGGTATCTTCCCAGAAACAACAGAGCATGCTGCTGTAGAATTCACATCCTCTCCCAAATCCACGTCTCCGTTTCCCTGCAACCCTCGCTCCCCAGGCCCATGGCTTGTTGTTTGCAGTGGCGGCCAGCCCTGTGCTGCCTCTGGTCAGCACTCTCTGGCCTACTCACTCTCGTGAGGCTTTTTTCCCTCCCCTACACTATGTATTACTTTTACTTCAGTTGTCAAACAGCAAAATGACTTCTGCAGGTGCACATGCTATGGATTAGAACACGTGGGTGGATCTGTGGAACCACACCAGCATCTAGGCCCCACCCAGGCCCCTCCCGCCAGCCTCACAGCCACACTGTCCACCCCTCTAATCCCTGGCGACAGCTCATCTGTTCTCCGGCCCCTTGTTCTGTCTTTCCCAGAAGGTAACGGAAAGGGAATAGAACCGTGTGCTACCCTTGGAGACGGGCTTCTGACACTTAGTGTGATACTTCTGGGAACCACCCGAATGGCGGTGGATACAGAAAGCCTGTCCCTTTTTCCTGTTGAGCAGAATTCCACCATACAGATGCTCCACAGTCTGTATCCATTTGCCCTGCAAGGGACATTTTGGTTGCTTCCGGCTTGGGGGAACGAACAGAGCTACCACAAACATTCACGCACAGGTTTTTGTGTGATCCTAAGATTTCACTCTTCCGGGGTACAGATCCAGGAGTGGGAATGCGGGGACACGGTGGCAGGCGTGTGGACATTTATGAGAAACTGACAGTTCTTCCAGAGTGGCCGCACCATTCTGCATTCCCAGCAGCTGCGATGCGAGTTCTCAACACAGGGTTGGTCAGCCTTTTAAATGTCATCCATTCTAACAGGGACACACGGTGCTGTCTCACTGGGTTTTAATGCATATTTGCCATCCCTAAATCCTCTTTGGTGAAGTGTCTCTTCACGTCTTTTGTCTATTTTCTAATTTCTTTTTCCCCCTTATTTTTGAGTTCTGAGATATCTTTATACATTCTGGATACAAGTGTTCTTTGTCAGACATGTGACTCGCAAATCTTTTCTCCAAGTCTATAGCTTGTCTTTTCGTATTAGCAGTGTCTTTCAGAGAGTAAACATCTTACATTTGGATGAAGTCCAATTTACCAATTTTTTTCTTTTGTGAGTCACGCTTAGGATGTCATGCTGCTGTGCACATTTTAAGTTTTGGAAAGAAACGGGAGGCAGCTTGTTCCGACACCAAAATCTTGTTCAAGGGAAAACCTCCTTGGGTTGGGCAGACCACAGTGGGGCTGTCCTGAGACCTGAGCTCTAGGCCAGCCCTGCCCGAACCAGGCAGAAAAGGTCACCCAGGAGCTGAAGTGGACTAAATACCAGGTTCTCTTTCAGTCAAATAAGGGGTTTGACTCAATAACTTAAAACAATTTTTTGTCGTAATCACTAGGTGATTTTTAACAGCCCTTTCTGCGCTGGAGACGTGGAACTCATGGTGCTGTCTGAGCTCACGTGACTCAACATGCACTGGCAGGGCCCTGTCCGGAGTAGCCACAGGCACAGGTGACCAGGGTGGACAGAACAGCACACAGCAGCCATCCAGGACGGAGACGAGACACTGACCCACACGGAGATGGAGGTATGGGCAAGGCTCGGGCTCCTGCTACCCGGCGGAGGAGAAAGGATACTGCGGCCCTCCCACCTCCAGAGGAAACCATGGAAATAGCCACAGGGAGGGACAACAAACGGAAAATGCCAAGACAGTTTTCACCCAAGAGCTGCCTAAATAAGCCAGCCCAGCAAGGATAAAATATAACTGCTGAAATATTAATGGATATGGTTTATTTAATAAATTAGATATATAATATATATACACAGGTGAAGTGTCCCTTTATCTGAAATGCTTGGAACCAGAAGTGTTTCGGATTTTGAATTTTTTCAGATTTTGGAATATCTGCATTATACTTACCAGTTAAGTTTTTTGGATTTATCACTAATCCGAAAACACAAAGTCCAAAATGCTCCAAAGAGCATTGTCTTTGAGTAGCATGTCAGTGCTCACAAAGTTCTCGATTTTGGCCTTTCACAGCCAGAATCACTCATACCTGTAATCCTGGTGCTTTGAGAAGTGGAGGTGGGAGGATTGCTTGAGGCCAGGCGTTCAAGACCAGCCTGGCCAAATACGGCAAGATGCCCATGTCTATTTCTCTTTTAAATTCATTTAAAACTTTTTTTTAAAGTTTGGAGTATTTTTGATTTTGGATTTTTAGATCTGGGATACGCATCTGGTACGTGTGTGGGGAGGGGCAGAAGTGGTGGGGGCAATCTATACGTTACAGGGAATAGAGAGTTCTGAAACTCAGACAACAGAGGGGGAAATAAAAGCCCCAAAGAAAGTGCACAGCAATGACCAGTTAACACATCTCATGAAATCTCATCAGGGAACCAAACTAAACAGAAGGGGAGGGGAGCACAGATCATTTAGTCCCAATTTTTTTTTTTTTTAAGTTATTTTCCATGTGATGCTTCTCAGAGACTCCACTATCTGTTTAGCCTTTGGAAACAGTCTTTTCAGTCACAGCTTGCACTGCTTGGAAAGCCTCTGGACACTATGCTCTGTTAGGCACCCATGCTGGGGACTGCTCACTTAGCACATCTGACAGACCACTCCACATCAGGACCAGCGCAGCTTCCCCGGCCTTCCTGCTGGCCACACAGCCACGTTTCCCCGGCGGGAGTGAACCACGATGGAGCTCACCGTGCCCTCGTGAACGCAGACACATAATATTTTGTATTTTTCCTGATACACAAGGCAAGTGTTTTCACAAGAGAAACTTGGAAGTGGGTTTGCTTTTCCTGCCTAATGTAGTAAATTCAGGCCCTAATATTAAGACACAACTTTGTATATTAAGGTGTAGAAAACAATTATCTTGCATGTTAATTCCAGAAGAAATGGGGTTCCAAGCCACAGGGTTTAAAATAACTCCAAAGTTCTTCCATGCTGCCTGGATGACTCAGGATGAGTCACGATGAATCCGACGCACAAACAAACAGCACAAGGCAGTGCAGGCCACGCTCCAGGTCCTGAGACGCCACTTCAGATCCAAAGAGATCACAGAGAGGGACAGACAGGTTGGCCAATGGGACCGGAAGGATTACGGGAGGCAAGTGCCACTGACTCTTCATGGGAGGCCTGACTTAAACCCCGTCACTTCATCACTCAGGTTCTGAAATCAGTTTGCCCTGAGATAGTAAAATGGAAATTGGATGGAGACAGGTGGGTAGGGGATGGAAAGTTACAGAATATTAAAGAGATAGTTTCAGAAAATAAGGTAAGAGCTAGCTATGATCTAGCTGCCGTTTCAGTGGCAGCAGAAATGATCTGTATGCGAAGTGGTATGTTCTTGTATTGGCTTAAAGTCTGGAGATTTTTTAAATGTTCAAAGGAATCCAGCTTTTTATTATTTTTCTTTTCATATGGCCCATGTTTGGTTATCTCCTGCACTAAGCCCCAGTGTGACAATCACAACCACAGCCTTAATCAGAGAACAAAAGAACATAGCCACATGAAAGGGAACATGCCACGCTGATAGAAAGTACTTCTGAGAAGCAAGAGCCTTCAAAAAGGAAAAGAAACTCATCAGATCCAGAGAGCCACAAGAGCTTAAAAATCCTACTTACTTTTCTATCAAATCCAGTGTGACGCCAGGCACCAGACTGACACATTTCTGCATGCAAAACCTGCAGAGAAAGAAAAGAATGTAAGTGAATGGCACGAATGGAACAGTCACCCAGGAAATTCAACAGACCTGCAGAAAAAGGAAAGAGTTAAAGGTGGGGACAGGGACTGCCCTAGTGAACAAGTACACTCGGATTTCCTTAATTCGGCAGTTTTAGATTCATAAAGAAAATTTCATTGCCATCCTGTCACGGCGCGAGACTACAGAGCTGCCACAGTGCGTTGTCAGGAGAAAGGAGAGAAGCCATTTGCAGCCACATGAAGCCCAGTCCCTGGAGAGGAGCGCCGAGATGCTTAATAAAGCTCAGTCTCCAAACGGGACGCCGGAGTGGACTGGACTTGCCACTTCTTTCTTTCTTAAGGAAGTGAGCTGGGGAGCCTGCTGGAGTAGAATAAATGAGTAGCCTCAAGGCACACAAAAGAAATGCAAATGCAATGATGTCACGTTCCTAATCATAAAATCCTACAGGTCATAGCTGGCTTCATGTCTGAGGCAAGTCCATCCTCAGGAGCGCGTGTGGAGCCGGACAGGCTTTCTCTACTGTGACGCCAATGGGAGGCAGGGAAAGCATCTCTCCTCCCACCCGGGCTGCTGGCATACAGTGGGGCAGAACCAAGGCCGCAGAGTAAAAAGCCAACACAGTATTTTTAGTAGGAGAAATACAAAATGTTTAATTCACCTACTTTTAAAATTAAGAACAAATAACACACCTTAAAAACATAATGGCAGGTGCAGAGCAAGCACGCACATTTCCAAAACACACTCACGGACTGTTGGCTGGAAGTGAGCGATGGAAGAAGCCTGGAGAAGGACAGTAGCCCAGGGGAGGGCACAGTACAAGGGTCAGGCACTTTCGGGGGAGACGTGGAAGTGACTCCTCTATGGGGGATGGCGGACCCAGGAGGGCACCCATAGCAGTGGGATAGGAAATGGGAGAGGAACTGAGAGATCCAGAACCAGGATGACAACGAGCTGAGGTGTGAAGATGGTCTCACTTCTGCAGCCCTGCAGGGCGAGGGGAGGCTGAGCTGGCCGTCCTGGACCCCATGCACGGCTGCCAGCCACGCTCACTCTCTCAAGAAGTGATACCTGGCTCAGCCAGCAGAGAGGAAGTTATATTCTTGGTGGTGGCTGCAGTAGTCAGTGTTTTATTGTTCAAAGAGCCGAGAAAATAAAAGTGAGGCCCACGTTTGCCTGAAGCTAGAGAGCAGCCCTTTCCCACGGCGTCAAGTGTCCTGTGTGGCCCCGATGCCTCCCCGAGCCAGTCAGTGTCAGTGCCACTCTGAGTGGTCTCCTCTGCTGGCTTCACGTGCAGATGCTCTCCTTGGCTGTGCCCAGACACCTCTGCACCAGCGCAGATACATGCAGCTCCTACGGTGCTCCCAGGCAAACTAGAATTTCTCTGTGGATAAAAATGATCTACAGGAAATGCATTTTCAAATCTGAGTCCTATGCGAACCATGCTACTTTGTCTTTTTATCCATAATGTACTTATTGACTGGGATTTCTGGAGTCCAGTAATGACAGAATCACTTATATCAGACTAATCCTTTTGCCAATAACGATAAACTCTGGACAAAATATTCAAAAGCCATTTGAAGATTCTGAACAACAAACAAATGCAGGCAGAAACTGGAAGGGCCGTGACCCCTAGAAAACGAGAATAGCCCTGGATGAATCACCTTCATCTGGCTTTTCCCAGGGGTGCTCCTCACTCACACGTCACGTGGGGGATAGCATGCAACCGAAAGGCAGCAGCCTTACTGGGCTGAGACCACGTTCAAGGCTGCCAGGATATTGCAGGCAAAAGCCCTAGGAAGAAGGGAGCCAAAACCCGCATGTAAACCTTCCCCAAGTCGGAGGCTGGCTCCTGAAGGGCACACACACAGGATAATATTCCCGGGATCCCCGTGGAGGACAGCAGGAAGGTTGAAAACGCAGAGGAGAGATTTTAACATCTGCTTGCCACTGTGAAGACAGAGGAGATCAGGTCCTGCCAAATTACAGGGCTTGATCACATCTGAGGCATTCCATGGACACCCCAGAGGGATTACGAATCGCATCTTAGAACTAAGATCAAAGCCAAAAGAGCCTAGTTCTATAACCAAGCCTCTACAAGACCAGTGTAACTGCCCAAAAGAAAATAACAGAATCTAGAATGCCTACAATGCCTCATCCACAAGGTAGTATACTATCTAAAATCAAGAGAAAAAACCATCAGTAAAAACAGATCCATAGTTGGCCAGATATTGGAATTAGACAGAGACTTAAAAATTATAAAAATAATTATTGGCTGGGAAATAAGCATTATTATAAATTCACTGAAAATATAATGTTCCCTTAAATAAAAAATTAAAATAGGATTATCATGCAACTTTATTATAGTATGGCTATATGAATAAGAGTAGCATGCATAAATCAGTCACTTCGTACACAAACTTCATTTTAGCCAAAAATGTAAATTATCTTTATACCAGAATTGCTAACAACTGGTTTCACGTTTTACACGATTTCTTTCATTCACCTACATTAGAGTGTTACTGAGCAATGAAAGGTCAAAGACCGGGCAAAGGCAGAGGTAATAAAAATGGCTCAAAAAATCCATAAAGCTGAATAGAATGATAATATAACACAGCTGATGCTTATTTGGTGCTTATTATCTGGTGGTCATTGTTTATGTCTTTTATACTGATTGTTTTAATCCTCACATTCTGTGAGGTATTATGATACATTATACAGATGAAGAACATCATAAATTAGGTACATTGTAGTAAAGATCAAGAATATTAAAAAGACAATGAAAATACATACAAAGCTTCCAGAAAGAAAAAGCAGATCACATTCAAAGAAACAAGAATCAGATCAACACAGGATTCAGGAAGACAATGGAGTGGTGTTTTTATTTATTTTATTTATTTTATTTATTTTTGAGACAGAGTCTCACTCTGTCACCCAGGCTGGAGTGCAGTGGTGTGATCTTGGCTCATGGCAACCTCTGTCTCCAGGGTTCAAGTGATTTTCCTGCCTTAGCCTCCCGAGTAGTTAGGATTACAGGCTCCTGCCACCACGCCTGGCTCATTTTGTATTTTTAGTAAAGGTGGGGTTTCACAATGTTGGTCAGGCTGGTCTCGAACTACTAACTCAGGTGATCCATCCGCCTCAGCCTCCCAAAGTGCTGGGATTATAGGTGTAAGCCACCATCCCCAGCTGATGTTTTTAATTTATTAAAGAAAAGTAAGTTAAAACCCAGAATTTTGTATCCAGCCAAACTGTCATTCAAATGTGTGAGCATGACAAAAATACTCTCAGAGGCACATATGGCCTCAGAAGACTTGTCACACAAAGACTCATGAGGAAGACACTTGCAGATGACAGGCTAAAGTTAGAGGGGAGAAAACTCCAAGAGACGCTGGAGGAGATCTATGAAGTGATGATGACACATAACCTTGGTAACATTTGTAGTTGTCTTAAAATGAAAAGCAAAAAGGTGGGGGCGATATCCATCATAACCAGGATTGAAAACCTACATATAAATCCGCAAGAGCATTAAAAATCTGACAGAAAAATGGATGAACAGACATCTCAAAGATGAGGCCATACCTATGGCCACTGAATATGAGGAAATGCTCGACATCATGCGATATCAGAGAAACGTGAATCAAGGCTACACGAGATATCATTCTAAACCTACTCAGCAAAAATGTACAAGAATGGCAATGCCAAGAACTAGAAAGGACGTGGATCAGAGGCTGTCTCCATCACCACTGCAGGAGTGTAAAATGGCACAACCACTGGGAAAGCACCTTACCATGATCCCTTAAAACTGAACATTCCTATACACTATGATCCGGCAACTCTGCTTTTAAATACATATGCAATTCTTGCATGTGTTCAAAAGAACACACGGAAAAGAATGTTCAAAGTATCACTGTTTATAATAGCAAAAATACAATACAACACACCAAAGCAAAGCAAAACAAGTAAGGAAAGAAGCTGGAAAAGCTCAAGTGTCCATTAAGGAGTAGCAGGTGCACACAGTGTGGCATATTCGCAGAGTGGAATGTTACAGGCAGTTAGAGGGGGGTACTCTAGCTAAACACACATGGATATGGAGGAACACTAGCAACACAAAGCTAAGTGGAAAATGTCCACATTCCAACCAAAAGCATTTTTTTTTTAAAAGAGTCCTCAAAATCACATTCAGCACTGAAGCCTTTAACAAATTTAAAATCTGAAAGAAAAGTAATGGTTTTAATGAACGCACACAGATGCATAGTAGCAATTTAGAAAGGGCATGGAAGGGATGATGAGCCCGGCACTCAGGGCATGGTCACGGGGCGGGGGTGGCAGGCGCGTGCACACCAAGGGCCCTGTGTGGTGAGCACAGGCCATCATTAAGGTCTGGGTTTTGGTTGGGTGGTGGTTTGGGGAAACCCATTATGCTATAAAAATACCTGTTAACTAACTACTTAAAAGGAGGCCAAATATGGACTAGTGATGAGTGTGGCATGAAGCAAGAATTATGACTGATCCAGGCTGGGTGAGCAAACAAGTGGCCTCGAGAGTTCTATGATGTTAAATTAAGTTTCGCCTAAAGGCTGCCTCCGTACACGTTTTACATTTGGCCCAATGGTTCCATATACGTGGTGATGTATAAACAGCCTGGTCTTGTGACAGGCAGCTGAGTCTCAGACTACCACAGACGGCCAACTGTTCAAACCGGGCTCAAGCAAGGCAGATCCCCCGTATTCTCTGGAGTCACTTTCCTTTCTGCCCATGAAGGTATCCAGCCAGTGGCAGTCCCGGAGTCGCTCTGAACCTATTCTGGTTCTGGGGCTGCCTGATTCAAGGATGGTTTTTTGCTCAATTAAACTCTGTTAAATGTAATTTGTCTAGAGTTTTAACAATGAAGAACAAATTAACGTTCAGCTCGGTAACCTTGTCAAGTATCATACAAGTAACTACTGAACGCTGTTTTCATTTTTGAGAATGAAAATTCCT